ATAGTCAGTCCTCTAAAAGACTCATCTCCCTAAATTCCCTATTCCAGGCAGGAACTCAGACCAGGTTTCTCAAAGTTCTCACATATAATCTCAGCTTCTCTCCCAAACGCTGCAATTTCTGAAACCTTATCCCTCTGATCGCTACTTAACTCTCAGGGCATGTGGGTGGAGGTCCTATCTCAGAACTCAGATCCATGAATCCTCAATACCATGAACCCTCCGTATCTGTATTCCTGTTCTTTGGAGGATTCAAGAACCAAGCCCTATTGTTATTGTCTCTCTTACGTACGCATTAACCACGAACTCAGACTCCATTCATGAGCCCTCAAGGTCGGTAGCCCTTAGACCCAAACCACAAGACCTGACTTTATGAACTCTAGCCTCCTTCTCCCCCTCCCCCTCCCCCTCCCCCTCCTCCTCTTCCTCCTCCTCCTCCTCCTTTAAAGGTTTTTCGAGACAGTGTCTCTGTATGGCCTTGCATGGCTCTCCTGGAACTCACTCTGTAGATCATGTTGGCCTTGAACTCAGAGATCCACCTGCCTTTGCCTCCTGAGTGCTGAGACTACAGGCCCATGCTACCACCGAAGCAGGAACCTTCCCACTTGTAACCACTGCTTCCTCTGTTCTCCATTCTCTGGAGCCCCAGGATGAGTGGACTCCCAAATCCATAAAGCACCTGCCACTCTCAAAATTCTAGTGAGACCTAGCTCTCAATTTCCCTATTCCTTGTTGTCTTTTGAGTTTTGAAGCTCCTCAGTCTTGTCAGCTTACTTTCCCACTCCCAGCTCAGACCCAGCCCTGGTGATGACCTGTCAGATCTTCTTTTCATAACTTCTCCATCTTCCATTTGACTCAAGTTCACTGAGAACTCCCCAAATCCCATTCCCTTTTTGGAGTCTTTCTCACCTCCCAGAATCCACTAATGAGTGGGCTTCTTCATGACGTACCCCCCGTGGTACCCATATAAGGCAAAACAGCTGCCAACTAATGCTGGGAGGGGCCATACGGAAGGCCAAGGGCAGCTGCTAAGTTTAGGGTGGCTCCTTCTCTCGTCTTAGAGACAACAGGTGGCTGGGCCCCAGTGCCCAGAAAAGAAAATGTCTTAGTGGCATTGGCATGGACTGGAGGAGGGGAAGGGAGGGGACACATTCCTCAGGACATCAGGTCCTAAACGGAGCAGGAGGAGATGCGTATCACTGCCAACCTGGGGTTTCCTCTACTGCTACTTCCCTAGATTTCCACTGAGTGGAGCAATATGGGCCACCGAGGCACAGAACATTATGAAAGTCACATCAGCTAAACTCGCATTTTACCAGAAAGGAAAAGCCACTGGTTATGCTACCTGGGTGAGGATGGCTGGGGCCTTTATGTCTTCTCCTCTGAGGTCCAGCAAGAAGCCTAAACTTCTCTTGTTTCAACCCTTTCCAAGTTCACCAGTGTTTCTGCTTGTTGCAAACCCCACAGTATCTGGTTACCAACCTTAACATCCAGCCCCATCTCAGTTCTGGCAAGCCTAACAGCTGATTTTTTACTGTCCTGGCCTTTGCCCACATGCTGTGCCTTCTGTCTGCATATCTGCTCACCAGCCCTCACCTAACTCACTTCCTTAGCTTCCTGCTGAGTTTTGCTGTTGTCATTTGCTTGTCTGCCTGTTTGCTTGCTAAAGTGAACCCACAAACCCAAGCATTTTGTCCGTTGGCAATAAATGCTTACTGAGTTTAGATCTGCACCTACCCCACTTGGGCTCAAAAGCCTGGTTCATCTCTTCCAGACTTCCCTGAGCCCCTCTGAATTCTGGCACATTGCAGTCCCCCTTCGGGAGAAAGAACATCCCTTCCTACCTAGATCCTAATGAGACTTGCATCCCAAGGCCTCCTCCCCCTCCCTTCCTGGGCTTCAGCTGCTGCAGGCCTCCAAGAAAGGAGAGGCCCCTGAGCTGGGCTATTTTAGTATCTGGGGTGGGTATCCACAGGGCTAAGGTTACCACGGTATGTTAAGGGCTGTGGGGCAGGACTATATAACCCCAGAAGAACTGCTCCAAGCAGATTCTCTTCCTCTTTTCCATCTGGAGCTACTGCCTTGCCCCCAGGAGACCTAAGACATGGTGAGTGAAGATCCACTCCACCCCCCCAGTCCTGACCCATTAGCTCAGGATAGCCTCACCCTTCAAAAAAAAAGTTGTCTCTTCTCATTCCAACTACAGGCAAATATATGAATCCTTTCTCTTAGCACCAGAATGTGGCCAGGGGAGAGTGATGGGCTGAAGGGTTCAGTCAAGGATAATATACTCAGATATCCAACCATAATGTCTGGGGTGGAGGGTAGACCTGCTCAAAGTCCGTTCCATCCCTTTCCATCCTTTCCCAAAGTTCTCAGACAACTGAGATGATCCTGCTCACATTTTATAAATGAGAATTAGAGGTTCGGATAGGGTCAATGAGTAGATTAAGCTAGCAAGTATGGACGCCAAGTTGGCAGGTGGAGGGTCCTGAGAAGGGCACTTGTCAGTCAGGATGAAGTGATCTGGGAGCTACAGTTGGGAATTAAGATACACAGCCAAAATGAGTCCCCTTAGCCAAGAGGTGCCAAGAAAAATAAGAGCAATTTTAGAAAAATGGACTCAAAGAACTCTGAATCTGAATCTGACCAGGCATGGTGGGTATGCCCGTAATTTCAACTGCTTAAAAGCCTGAGGAGGGCCGGGCGGTGGTGGCGCACGCCTTTAATCCCAGCACTTGGGAGGCAGAGGCAGGCGGATTTCTGAGTTCGAGGCCAGCCTGGTCTACCAAGTGAGTTCCAGGACAGCCAGAACTACACAGAGAAACCCTGTCTTGAAAAACCAAAAAAAAAAAAAAAGCCTGAGGAGGTAGGAATCCAGGAGTCCAGGAGTCCAGGAGTCCAGGAGTTCAAGGGCAGCCTGAGCAATGTAGTGATACCATTCTAAAAAAGAAAAAAGAGGAGGAGGAGCTGGTTGTGGTGATGAATATCTTTATTCTCAGAAGGAAGAAGCAGGTAGATCTCTTGAGTTCAAAGAAAGGAAAGATTGGGTCTATATAATAGGTCCCAAGGCCAAATCATGAGACTGTGTGTGGGGGAAATTGGGGTTGGGGATGTAACTCAGTTGGCTGGTAGTGCATAAAATAGGGTGTGGCTGTACATGATGCTGACCCTGGAACTTGCATGGTCGAGGTTAGCAATGGAGGCAAGGGGAGCCAGTCAAGGTCACCCTCAGTGAAGCAGCAAGTGTGAGGGCTGGGCTGGATGAGACCCCGTCCCTAACAGAAACAGAAATCTAGTTTGTGGCTCCCAGGAGAGAGGTACAGCAACTGGCCTGTAGACTCTCCCACTCAACCTTCACCCTCACAGGCACCCAAGAAGGCCAAGAGAAGGGCAGCAGCGGAAGGGAGCTCCAATGTCTTCTCCATGTTTGACCAGACTCAGATCCAGGAGTTCAAGGAGGTGAGAGACGGAGGCTAAGGAAAGCCCTCTCACCCCTCCTCCCCATCACTCCTCCCTACCCCTCCTCCCCACTACTCCTCCTCACCCCTCCTTCCCAGAAAGTGCACCTGTTGAGGGAGGAGGAGGGTTTAGAATTCCTCCCCTCCCTTCAAAGGGTGGAGGGGGACAGCTGGCTCAGGGCCAGAATCTGATCTGCCTTGGGCCAATTCCTGGCCTCACCTGTCCCCACCCCTCCCCCTCCACAGGCGTTCACTGTAATTGATCAGAACAGGGACGGCATTATTGATAAGGAGGATCTTCGGGACACCTTTGCGGCCATGGGTGAGTTCCTTACATCTATAAATGTTAAACGCTATGGAGTCAGAGGAGAATCCAGGGGCTTCAGGCCTCCATCCGCCCAGATGACAAATGAATGAGCTGATATAAGTTTATGGGAAGCACAGCTGTGGTCCCCAGCACCCAACTCCAACCCCTGATGCTCTCTCTATTCAGGCCGTCTCAATGTGAAGAATGAGGAACTCGACGCTATGATGAAGGAAGCCAGTGGACCCATCAACTTCACTGTCTTCCTGACCATGTTTGGGGAAAAGCTTAAGGGTGAGTAAATGGTTTCAGTCCAAGACCCTAGTTGCTCCTTCCAGTCCTTCAGGGACTTGCTAGACTCATGTGCCCTCTGACACTGCAGGTGCGGACCCTGAGGATGTGATCACTGGAGCCTTCAAGGTCCTGGACCCAGAAGGGAAGGGCACCATCAAAAAGCAGTTGTGAGTGGCTCCCTCTAGTGGCTCTACTGTAGTCTCTGAAAATTCCCGTTAAGAGTGACAGGTTGACAGAATGTGTGAACAATAGGGACTGGCTGACAGGGTTACATTTTTATAATAACTAAGGGAAGAAATTCGAGACAGGAGTCCACAGCATTTGGGAGACGTCCCAGACATGTTTCTGGGAAGGTTAGTGGGAACAGGAATGAAATGAGAGAGGACAGGACTCATGAACCTGATCTCACCTCCCCTAATGTTGCCTTCTCAGCTTGGAGGAGCTGCTTACCACACAGTGTGACCGATTTTCCCAGGAGGAGGTGAGTTGGGCAGAGCACGGGAATGAAAAGGACTCAGAGTGGAGGAGGGAAGTGGAAGAGAGGGAAGCGGTAGGAAGAACGGTCCTAGAACTACTCCTGTCTTCCTACAGATCAAGAACATGTGGGCAGCCTTCCCCCCAGATGTGGGCGGCAACGTGGACTACAAGAACATCTGCTATGTCATCACACACGGTGACGCTAAGGACCAGGAATAGGGGACCCAAGGTCTCAGAAGAAGACCTAGATAGGCTTGTAGCCGCTCCAACTCTCACCCTGACACCCAATAAAACTCAACTGGTCTTTGTTTCTTATTGGTGGCAATTTCAGTATGTTCACGCGCGAACTCAGGTGGGAGGCTGAAACGCCGCCTAGACAGATAGGAGCGGCTAACAGTGGAACGACTAGTAGCCAGGAGGCCCCCATCGGGCAGCTCCATTCCTGCTGGGAAGAAGACTCCGGCAGCTAGGGGAGGCGGGGAGCATATTTTATTAGATGGAGAACTTGGAGGAACAGGAAAACCCAAGTGGAACCCGCCAGCAGGCGTTTGGAGGGCGGTCCTCTTAGAACAGTGCAGAAGGCGGAGTCGGGCGGGCCTTCCGGATTGGAGAGACCTAGTTTAAGTGCAAGGGCGGGCCTACCCTCTGGGTCTCCGGATTGGGCGCTGGGCAGTCTGGAGCCAGGAGGGGACTGCAGGTTAGCGGTGAGCAGACCTTAGGACAGGCTCCAGTGAGGATCTCACAGCGCATCTGATTGCTCGCCCTGAGCCTGGCTCTGCTGCATCTGGGCTTGCATCTTCTCCAGCATTTCTTGCATGCGGCGCAGCTGTGCGGAGCAAGATTGCAGGCAGTGGGACCCGGCAAGGCCGGAATGGGATCTAAAAGACGTTCTAGGGCACTGATTAGAGGGAAAGAGAAGTGCTTGCTCACCTCTTCATCCTTCTCGCGAATCAACTTCTCAGTGTCGGCCAGAGGCAACATGGGCAGCGGGATCTCAGTGGCGCTCTGCCGGGAAAGCTTGCTAAGAGGGTAGAAGGAAAGGTTGTGTGCGTGCAGAAAATAGGGTGAGGTCTGACATTGTGGGCCTAGCCTTGAGGCAAATTCTGAGTGAAGGAGGTCGGGCCTTGTCCCTGGCGCCATGGAAACACCAAAATAGCCCTGCTCTCACCTGCGACTGGCTCGATCCCGGGCCCCAGGTCGAGCCAGACTCTGTAGGCAGCGAGCCCGGTAGCCCTCGTAGAGCAGATCGTGGGTCACCTCTTTCAAGTCCTGAAGGTGGGTCTGCACCAACATCCGCCTCAGGTTTAGGAAATCGCAGTGATGTGGATTTTCCACTAGAGGGCGGACCAGATAACTTCCCGTTCAACTCCACCCTTAAGAGCTGCTCTCTGAGAGTACTTCACTATTCTAGTGAAGGACCCACGATTAGGAACTCCCAAGATGCCGGGCAGTGGTGGCGCACGCCTTTAATCCCAGCACTTGGGAGGCAGAGGCAGGCGGATTTCTGAGTTCGAGAGTTCGAGGCCAGCCTGGTCTACAGAGTGAGTTCCAGGACAGCCAGGACTACACAGAGAAACCCTGTCTCAAAAAAAAAAAAAAAAAAAGAGGAACTCCCAAGACTAGAGCCCACCTCCAGCTTCACGTATGGATGCAGACTGAGCTCCCTGTTGCTCTCAAAGCATGCCTGGCCTTACCCTCTACAGTACCCCAGGAGTAGCGGCGTCCCCTCACTGGTCGGGTTCCATCTCTCACCACTTCACAAGAACCAACGACTGCGAAAGGGATGTTTTCCTGTGGGATGGGAGTCCGGAGTCGCGTTGGCTCCTCCTGGGCATAACCCTCTTTCTCCGCTTTCACTTCCACTTCCTGCTTCCTTGCCCCTTTCCACCGCCACCTGTCAAACCTTCATTTCTTCATTCTGCTTCTTGAATTCTTCGTCCTCATCAGAGTCACACTCTGGGAACTGATAGATGTTGATCTCCTCCTCTTTCAACTGGTCCCGGATCTCAGAGCGGATAGAGGGAGAAACTGAGGTATGACCAACAGAAATTACATGGCCAGAGATGGTGGGGTATAGTAGGGTGATCAGAGAGAAAGAATGATATAAAGGACAGATATGGCCACACAAGATGACCAAAACCAAACCTCAGAGACATGCTGGTGAGAAACTCAGATAGGAAAAATATCAAAATCCTAGGAAGTGGGACAGTAGGAAAGCACTTTGAAGACAGTGAGACAGGCAGTCATCACTATCACGGGACCAAAGGGATACCAGGAGTTGTGGTGCCCCTCGACCTTTCCTCCTAGCCAAGCATCTAGTTCCAGGGCTGTAAGGTCATTCGGTTCTGAGCCTGAGCCATTAGGGCCATTGCTGCTTGTGGCAGATTCATACACCCTTTCCTCACCACACCCCCATCTAGCCTAATGACATCTACTCTAAAAAGGTCACCCCAAGATTAAAAAAAAAGTCAAGACAGATGAGGTTCGGTCATAGCGTTTGTTTTCACTTAGCGGTCTCAGCCATACCTTCTGCTTGAGGGCCTGAGTTTCCCTAGGCATCAGGGCATCTGCTTTGCCGATGACCGGGATGATGTTGACTTTCTCATGCACTGCCCGGAGGAAAGCCACATCTAGGGGCCGGAGCCTGTTTCAGGGATTGATTGGTCAGGACTCAGCTTCAAGTACTGAGCTTTCTCCAGCCTCCCCAACCATTCCACCCCCAGGGTGCTCTCCAGACCCTCGGCCAAAGGGTGAGATGAAGTAGAGGCAGCAGTGGACTCTAGAATCCTGGATGTTCTTCCTGTTCAAGCCACTCTCATCCCTGAGGTATTGCTCAAACTGCTCCTCAATGAAGCGAACCACAGGCAGCCAGCTGGAGTGTGGAGAGGAGATATATAGCTGAGATCACAGGGCAGGCGACAGGATGACGCTAGCCAGGGCTGTGCAGTTTGAAGTAATTTCTTTGCTCCTAACCAAAGCTACCAGGGACAGCTGGCAACGGCACATGAGACATCAAGGAGTGTGGTGACTGTGCATCTGTAATCTCAGCACTCAAGAAGCTGAGGCAGGAGAATTGCCACATTCAAGGCCAGCATGGTCTGTATAATGAGTTCCAGGATAACTTGGGCTAATATGACACCATCTCAAAAAACAAAGCAAAAACCCAAAGCAACAAAGAGCACTGAACAAGCCAGGTAGGCGTCTATACTTCTAATCCCAGGAGGAGGACTTTTAGCTTCAGGCCAGTCTGGGTTACATAGTGAATTTGAGGTCCCTGAGCTACATAGAGAAACCTTGTCTCAAAACAAGAACCACTGGATACTTTGGGCCAGATGGTTACCAGAAACAGATGCTTCCTTTTGAGTCAAGGGGCTATGACAAGCCAGCCTACACCTGACCCCTGGTCTCCTGTAGTAGAGAGGCTTAGTTCTTGTCCCTTCTCTCCTCACCAATCTGAGCAGTCCACAGAGTCCCCGAAGCCAGGAGTGTCCACCAAGGTCAACTTCACCTTGATACCTCCCTCCTCGATCTCCACACCCCTGCGCTCAATGGTCAGAGTTTGTGCGGTGCGAGCTAAAGGGACAGAGAAGTTGGCTGCTGCATAGGGCTCTGAAGCAGGGCTCCCTTCCTGGTGCCGCAGCTGCCCCCATGTGATTCAGGGGAGGAAATAGTCTCAGAGAAAACCAGAGGCCACCAAAGTTCCCAGATAGAAAGAAAAAGAATGCATCCTGACGACACAGGAAGAGGCCAGGGCCACCATAGAAGGAAGACCTGGACAGCAGTAGGGTTGGGAAGCCCGCAGGGGTGGAGGCGAGGGGTAGATTTACCACTGGCATCTGGCACCTGCCGATCCTCATAGAGGTTGGTGAGGAACAAGCTGTTGATGAGAGTTGATTTCCCCAGGCCTGACTCCCCTGTGCACGGGACAGGCCCACTGGTCAGACCGGAGGGCAGCCATGATCTCCCGAGTACATCACCACCCGCTGAGTCTTCTCCAGAACCCACAGACCTGCCACCATGAGTGTGAAGTCAAAGCCCTTCTTGACAGACTTGCGATGCAGCTGGTTGGGTAGGGCAGCAAAGCCCACATATTCCTTGTCCTGTGGGGGTAAAAGGAGACGGCATGAGGTTCCTGGACATGGTAGGGAGTACCCCAGTACCACCTGAGCCGGGAAGCTAATGGCCACTTACTATGGGTTAACTTTGAATTGGGGAGCCTCAGGGAGAGGGCTGGCCCCAGATACCTAGATTCCTGGGCCCAAGAACTCACCATGGCTCTGCTGGTTGTCGCTTGCACCTGGTATTGCTCCCCACTTCCTCTGGTGGGGCAGGAAGTTGAATGTGTCAAACAAAGGGGGGGGTGAAATGAGGGGACAGTGCAGGAAGCTGAGCTGCTCAACGAGAGGTGAGAAACCCATGCACATCCCTTTTCTTTTAGTTCAAAGATATTATTTTTAATTACCTGGGGAACAGGGATCTGTGCACACAAGTAGAGGCCAGAGCATGGCATTGGATCCCCTGGACCTGGAGTCACGGGCAGCTGTGCACTGCCTGACATACACAATGGGAATTGAATTCAGTCTTAATTGATAAGCCGCCTACAGCCCTGATGCATCTCTTCTTATCACCCTACATATAGCTTCAGCCCCTTCATTCTCCACATGTCTTTATGCCAAGCCCCAGTGTGGCCCCCATCATCCTGGTGAGAGGTGGGTACGGACAGAAAGAAAGGAAGTAAGATGTTCTCCTTAGCAAGTCTGATAAGGGTTTAGCAAGATGATTTGCAAAAAGAAAACAAGTTCCCAGGGGTGTGAGCGAACAAAAAACCATGATAGGATTGGAGGGAGATGCGACTAAGGGTTCCCAGCTTAGGCAGTGGGTTCTTTTGGACGGTGGTGGTGCTTGGGTTGAACTCAAACCCTAGGTACTGCTATGCTCAACTCCACTGCACTCCCAGCTCCCAATGGATTTGGGATACTTTGAGACAGGACCAGTCTTGCTGTCTATCCAGACAGGCCTTGAATTTGCAAACCTACCACTTCTTCGGTCTCCCGAAAGCTAGGATCACAGGCCTGTGCCAGTGTACCTCAATTACGGTTGTTTTGGGTTTGAGACTGGATCTCATGTAGCCTAGGCTGGCTTCAAACTCACTTTGTGGTCTAGGATGACCTTCAGCTCTTGGTCTGCTTGACCTTGCCCCTGGCTGTCCAGTGCTGGGACTGCAGGTGTGTACAGACCTGGCATCTGGTTACAACTATCCAGACTCAGGAAGTCACAGCTCAAATCTTCAGGAGCTCCCCTCCCTCCACACCCCTCTACACTGACATGCAGTCTGCACTCTGACCTGGTGGGCAACGTTTGTCTCTCTTTGCTTGATGGCTTGTCTCCCTCACTATTCAAGCATCTATGGCTAAATATTTATTATTTATTATTTATTTATTTATTTATTTATTTATCTATTTATTTGTATATGAATGATTTGTCTTCTGACACCCAGAAAAGGGAATCAGATCCCATTACAGATGGTTGTGACTCACCATGTGGTTCCTGGGAATTGAACTCAGGACCTCTGGGAGAGCAGTCAGTACTGTAAACCTTTAGGCCGTCTCTTGAGCCCTTTTTAAAAACCTTTTTATTTTATTGTTTTATTTGTATGAGTGTTTGCTTGCACATATGTCTGTGTACCACAAGCATGTAAAGGATCACATAGGTGCCAACAAAAGCTGGAGGGATTTCAGATGCCCTGGAACTGGAGTTACAAACAGCTGTGAGCTATCAATGTGGTGGCTGGGAATTGAACCCAGGTCCTCTAGAAGAGCAGCCAGTGCTCTTAACCATTGTGCTGTCTCTCCAGCCCCTGAGATTCTGTATTAGCCCTGGCAGGGCTGGTGCTGGAATTGTGATGCAGGTCAAGTGTCTCAGCTACTTTCTGTTGCTGTGATAAAATCCTATATGACCAAGAGCACCTTACAGAAGAAAGGATTTTTATTTTGGCTTGTGGTTCCAGAAGGATAGGAGGCCATCATAAGGGTGTGTGGCAGCAGGACCAAGAAGCTAAGAAATCACCTTTCAACCACTGAAAGAGAAAGGCAGCAAACTGGAAGTTGGAACAGGCTACAGACATTCAAAGCCCTCCTCCGTGATGTACTTCCTCTAGCAAGGCTGCCCCACCTCCCCAAACAGTGCAACTGGGGCCATAGCTCATGAACAACATTCTTATTCAAGCCACCACACAAGCAGGCACTCTACCACTGAGCTATACAATCAGGTCTAACATTTTCTTTCTCTGCACCAGGTGACCAGTTCTTCAGTGAAATCTTCCTCTGTTGCCTCTGATAGAGCTTTCCTGTTTTAAACTGTCTAACATCTTTCTCAGACTTCTCAGTGCTCATGTTTGCCTAGGTAGGTGTCTGAGTCTGATGCCCTGGGGACAGGAACTATGTCTTCCTAATTTGTATATTCTGGGTGCTTCATAACACTTGACTTCTTAGGAGCATGTGTGCACAAGAGATGAGTAAATGGGCTGGGTGGTGGCGCACGCCTTTAATCCCAGGATTTGGGAGGCAGAGGCAGGTGCATCTCTGAGTTTGAGGCCAACCTTGTCCTTTTTTTTTTTTTTTTGGGGTTTTTCAAGACAAGATTTCTCTGTGTAGCCCTGGCTGTCCTTGAACTCACTCTGTAGACCAGGCTGGCCTCGAACTCAGAAATCTGCCTGCCTCTGCCTCCCAAGTGCTGGGATTAAAGGTGTGTGCCACCACTGCCTGGCAAACCCTGTCTTTTTTTAAAAAAATATTTATTTATTTATTTATTTATTTATTTATTTATTTTATGTATATGAGTACACTGTTGTTGTCTTCAGACACTCCAGAAGAGGGCATCAGATCCCATTGCAGATGGATGTGAGCCACTATGTGGTTGCTGGTAATTGAACACAGAACCTCTGGAAGAGCAGTCAGTGGTCTTAACTGCTAAGCCATCTCTCCAGCTGAAAACCCTGTCTTGAAAAGCCAAACCAAACCAAACAAGAATGAATAAATGAAATTAGGCAGAAAAAAGGCTAAAAGTCTACTGAACATAAAGATCTTTGCTCTGGGGTCAGAAGGAAGTCCCTACAAAGTCCAGATCTACCCCTGACTTGCTGTGTGACCTTGAGCAAGTCATTTGACCTTTCTCAACTCCAGCTTCCTTGGGATAAAATGAAGAACATGTATTTCAGTACGTCATCAGGACTGTTCCAGGTTATCTATGACTTGCAACCTTTGTCTGTAACATTTGAGCTGGGTGACCTTGGGCATGGAAATGAACTTCTCTGGACTTTAAAAACTAGTCATCTTATAGTCTAAGACCCTGTGATCCGAAACCTGCTCACTCTCTGCTTTAATTCTATTTTAGGGTCTCCCTATGTAGCCCAGGATGGCCTAAAACTTCCCACTCTCCTGTCTCCACATTCTTAGTGCTGGGATTACAGGCCTGTGCAATCTAGCCTGGCTCCTCTGTTTCATTTTATTTTATTTATTATATTCCTTTTCAGCCTCTAACTATGTGATGAATTTTATGATTGTGCTCCCCTCCCCCATTTATATGGTGCAGCCCTATGGGACTATATTTGCATATAGAGCAAGAAAGGAGGTGGTTAAGTTTGGTGGCTTAATCAAATAGGACTAATGTCCTTATATGACAAGGAAAAAAAATACTCCTCCTATCCAAAGGCTCAGTAAGGCCACAGCAGGAAGGTGGCTGTCTGCAACCCAAGGAGAGTACCTCACTAGATACCAACCCTGCTCACACTTGATCTTGGAATTCCAATCTGAAGAACTGTGAGAATATAAATGTTTGTTGTTTATGTCACCCGGTTTGTGATATCCTGTTATAAAAGTGTGGTGGCTTGACTAAGAATGGCCCCCATAGCCTCATATAGTTGAACTCTTAGTCATCAGAGAGTGGCAGTACTTGAGAAGGATTACAAGGTGTGGCCTTGTTGGAGGAAGTATGTCACTAGAGTAGGCTATGAGGTTTAAAAAGCCCACACTAGGCTGAGCATCATTCTCTCTGTCCATGAATCAGGATGTAGCTCTCAGCTACTTCTCCAGTACCATGTTTGCTCGCCACCATGTTTCCTGCCAGGATGATAATGGAATGAACCTCTGAAACTGTAAGCCAAGCCCCAATTAAATGTTTCCTTTTATAAGAATTGCTTGGTCGCCGGGCGGTGGTGGTGCACGCCTTTAATCCCAGCACTTGGGAGGCAGAGGCAGGCGGATTTCTGAGTTCGAGGCCAGCCTGGTCTACAGAGTGAGTTCCAGAACAGCCAGGGCTACACAGAGAAACCCTGTCTCAAAAAACCAAACCAAACCAAAACAAAACAAAAAAGGTTAAAAAACAAACAAACAAACAAACAAACAAACAAAGAGTTGCTTGGTCATGGTGTCTCTTCACATCAATAGAACAGTAACTAAGACCGTCTCTGGGAGATTGTATACCACACAGCTCCCTCCATTCCCTAGCCCTGTCTAAGGTAGTCTCTCTCTCTCTCTTTTTTTTTTTTAGAGTCTGGCCTCTGCATGCACATGTGGGCATTCACATCTGCACATTCATGCACATGCATCACAGAGACACAAAATGATTTCGAGGGTGTGTGTGGGTGTTTCTGGGATGGAATCCAGGGTCTTATGGATACCGGGCATTGGAATTACTTACGATGGAGTTACATCCTGGGTTTTCCTGAGCATACCTAATTACTGCTTCAGCCACATATCTGGCGCTGTTCTCCTTATGTAACCTTAGAAAAATCACCTCAGGGCAGCAGATGCAGCACAATAGAGTCGCCATCCTGCTCGGTCTTGCTATAGAGCCTGGGTTGGTCTATAAACCATTAACCTCCTGCTTGCCTCCTGAGTGCTAGAACAGGTGTGTGCTACCACACCTGGCTAATGATGGGGTTTCTTGCTTAGCATTAATGAGGACCTTGGTTCAGTTCCCATGCACAGGCGCACACACACACCACAGAGGCAGGAGGAAGAGGAGTGAAAAGTCCCCTCTGAGCTTTTTCCCTCCTTACCTGTCAAATGGGATTGAAAGCCTTTGCCATATTCAACCCACAGGCCCTGTGCTGTGTCTCAGTTTGCTTCCCATTGCTGTGATAAAAACCATAATCAAAAGCCACTTGAAGAGCAAAGGATTAATTTAGTTGTATGTCTCAACCACCTTTGAGGGAAGTCAAGTCAGGAACCCAAACAGGACAGGACTGGAAGGCAGGAACTGAAGCAGAGG